AAAGATGGAACAAGATGCACAAATTGGGATGACAGAAACCACAGCCACTCCGTCTTGGAGGGATTGAGCTTGAGCCTGTTCCTCCCCATCCAGATCAGCACAGCCTCCAGGCATCGGGACATCACGTCGAGGGCATCGTTTGGGTGGTTTGGGGTAGAGATGAAAAGTTTGGGATTTGGGATATTTGGGATTTGGGATATAGTAGAAGCTTTGGAGAAACAATCATGCTTCCAGACAGAGAACTGCACACTTAAAGTACTAAGATGTGTGCATTTAATAAATGTAATATTTACAAATGTCTACCTTCACCAAGGCAAATAAGCCATAATTTATACCCATCCAGGGGGAATCTGGCAAAATGAAGTCCTTCTGATGGACAGTCAGATAGATGCCTACAACAAGAGGACAATGATGGCCTGACAACTGTTGGGAATCTTGAAGAAGAACCAACAGAAGAATAAATAAAATAAAATTAGGAAGGGAAAAAATCATTTCTATTAAGCAAAACCTCAGGATTGAATGTGCTAATACTGTAAAAAATAAATAAAGAGTAGGAATTTGATGGACCTTCCAGGAGCAGAACTTTTATTAACAATACAATATGCTTTAAGAAATTCAACTCTTTGAAAACGGTTAACCCATATAGATGTGATGAAGAATAAAAAAATAATGGAACCCAAAACTTTCTCGGAGTGGAAAAAATTAACCATACTAATATATATTTATTTATATTTATTTATACATACATACATACATACACACACGTACATACAACACACATGCATAATTAAATATATAACAATTAATTGGATTAAAAACATATTTTCTTGCATTGGTACTCCCTAGAATTCTTTTTAAAACAGCTCAAACAACATTTGAAACAGACATTTTGGAAAGCCGTACTTTATCTGTTTAATGCTGAAAATGGGTCAGTTGGTAACATTTAAAAACCCATAGTTAATCTACTTCTTCCCAAACCCCACAGTAATAAGCCTAACTCGAAGAGGTATTTCAAAAGGAAGCTGTACCCCCAACTGACCACTGTGCGTATTCAATCATGCCTCAGTGGTTTTACACTGACATTTTAAATCACTAAAGATTTAATTGGAAGGAGAAAATACATTCATGTTTCTAGGACTGAGCTCAACTGAGAATCTGATTTGCATATCAAACTGAAGAAAATATCATTATAAAAAATTCACCACATCACGGGGTAGTTATTAATAAATTATCTGGCCCAATTGTCAGACAAGACTTTCAAATGAGCCTTCCATGACACCCACTTTGAATACAGTATTATTCTTCAAAGTGTAAAATATAAGCATGCAAACATCACATCCTCTAAAGATACTGGTTTAGTTTCCACTTTATTCTCTCTGCTCACTCACAGAACTCCTTTCCAGTTTATATCAACCTTAATTTTCTTACAATATTCCTTAAGTTGTAAAGTATCTGCTAAGATATACATACATGCATACATACATATGAACAAAAAGATAGTGTGTGTTTGTGTGCATGTGTAAATAAATAAGTATCTTTAGTTTATCTGTTGTTTCTAATTGTGATCAAAGACAGCATGCTGCTTAAATTACCGAATGTAAGGAATACTTATTTCAAAATGTATGTTCCATGAACAAGTCACTTATGTGCCTTCTATGTCATCAAATACATGTTTAGAATCTTTCATGATAACCTGACCTCAGTGTTCAATTTCTAGTTCAATTTCTGCAAAGATATGACATCACAAAAATTCAAAATATTCCATGGCACCCTTGTGAATTTGATGCAATGCTCCAGAGCACAATCGTGGGGAGTTTGGGAACTATGGCATATATCAAACTAACTTGTGACACCAGTCCTTTTTATAAAGAGCCCTCTATTGTACATATTGGAGACCCACTTTTGAAACATTGAGCTTCCAGCATATTATAGAGAATTTTTCAAATTGTTTTCAATCAGAATTTTCAAAACCCATTTAGTCAGCAACACCTCATACCTTGCTAAATCTAGGTGAACATGAGGAAAACTGTCTAATTTTCATATGATCATCATCATTTGTGTCTTCCTCCTCCTCAGAATCTAAGTGTTGATATCGCTCAGTACGAGCTGCAAACAAGAAAACAGATTTGAGTTCAAGTATTTGCACAAGGAGAAAGCCTACTGTATTAAGTATTTTCTGCACTTAGAAGCAAATGTAGTGTGGTAAGGCATAGGTGGCTGCTGTAGTATGTCATGAGCATGCCAGAGTGTGGCTGCTGCGGAATTTGGGAGGATGCACAGGCACGCGGGCATGTGCAGTGGGTACAAGCAAGCACACGCTACAGAGTACAAGATCTTGAGGAGAAGTATAAGATCCTCAAGAGAAAAAGCAACAGGGGTGGGGGAGCAAGTTTATAGCAATAGCAATAGCAATAGCAGTAGACTTATATACCGCTTCATAGGCCTTTCAGGCCTCTCTAAGCGGTTTACAGAGAGTCAGCATNAGCAGGGGGGTTGGACTAGAAGACCTCCAAGGTCCCTTCCAACTCTGTTATTCTATTCTATTCTATTCTATTCTATTCTATTCTATTCTGTAAGTATGAAAAAGTAAACAATTTACATGTCATTCTAAATATATGTCATTTTTATAAATATGAAGCACCTGTTCCCAGTCTTTCCAAAGGGTTTTGTCGTAGGAGTTTACCAATTAAGTCCTGGGCATCTAGTGGTAAAGCTTCATCTCCTTCTGGCCAGACAATTTCATCTGCAGAAATCATATTGACAGGATTACACTCTGCACAGGATTCTATGCATAGAATAGTGTTTTTATGTCTCATGGCTCTCAATTTCTCCCTCAGATATAAGCTCCCGCCCACCCGCTACCAATAGCATCCTTCAGTTAGAGGTGTCTGAGGGATCTGATCATTGAGTCAAAATGATGAAAGCCAGATTGTGCTTTCATTCCTTTCATATGTTTGTGACATGTCAAGACACACATAAAAAAGGAGCAGAGCTTATACTGGAACAGCACAATGCTACTTTCATCTCCTGCTGAACTGACAACTCTGCTTTCAATGTCAGGAGATTCTCTTAATGAGAGATGTACCAGATGATATGCACAAGTAAACTAATATGATACTATGAAAGGCATTCTCCAGGCACACTTAAAATAATTATCTATTCTTTCGATTAAATGCATGTGTATAATATTAAATATTTTACAAATATATAAGATATAATAATTGCTTCAAGGACAGTCAATACTTAGAAAGGGCATGCCTGAAAGAAAGAGTTTAGATCCTCTCCCTGGCATAAAAAAGAAAAAAAAAAGCATTGCTGCTTTATTTTATTTTGTGCCTACAAGTCAATGTTGACTCTTGGCGACCGCCTGGAAATAAGGGGAACCTGGCAGGGAAGGTTTCAGAAGCGGTTTGCCATTGCCTCCTAACTAACCCAATGTCACTCAGCTACCTTTGTGCCCAAGAGTAAAACTCATGGTCTCCAAGTTTCTAGACTGATGATGTAATCCTATACCAAACTGGCTTTCACTGCTGCTTTAAGAGTTTATTCAGTTTAAATCTGAAATTCCATAAAGCATCATTATCATTTTTCAGGCTCATATGGAAATCTGAAAAAGGTTAGAGTGCTTTAATGAATAGCTAAATATGCTGCCCTCAGAGGAGGTCTGAAGCACTTCTGAATCATTTTTAAGTACAATGTGCACAGTGCTACTGAATGTACTGCAGGTTTGGTTGTTTTTTTTAAGCGTATGGCATGTGTTAGCCAGGGATCACCGAGGTAGCTGGCTGCCTCTGTGAAAGTAATTTTTTCGGGCAGTGTTATCTTACCCACGGGATGCCTGAATGCCAGTAGGCAATTGGGGAAGGCTCCTTTCCTGTCCCTATGTGCTTTATTCGCCCATGGGAATCTAGCTGCTGGGCTACAGACTTCAGCAGAGCGCAGGGTCATCATCTTACCACGTGAGCCACCACGGGCCCCATACATATACTGCAGGTGATATGTATATTTAGCTATCAACTGGGTTAATATTTTTTGTAATACAATTGTGTTGTATTACATAATACATGCAATATAATTGTACTATATGGAGGTTCTATGATCTCAAATAATATATTTAAGACTGTAACACATTCAAATATTAAATTACATGCCAGTATANTACCCACCTCGGAAGGATGGAAGGCTGAGTCAACCCTGAGCCGGTGAGATTTGAACTGCTGACCTGCTGATCTAGCAGTAGCCTGCAGTGCTGCACTTAACCACTGCGCCACCTTGGCTATAGGAATTGTTTGAAACTTTCCCTGCCCGCTTCCCCCTAGACTTGCTTGTGGGAGGCTGGCAGGGAAAGTTCCAACTGGTGATCATGTGACCACAGGATGCTGGCAGGGGAGGTTCCAAATGGTGATCATGTGACCACAGGATGCTGCAAACATTGTTAAGTGCAAGCCAATTGCCAAGCTCATGATCATGATGTTGGGATGACCAGAACTTCAAGGACAAGTTGCAAATATGACTCATTCAGTGCTGTTGTAATTTCTTATATTTATGGAAACATAAGCAAAATGCTAAAATAATTATAATCTCTGATCATTTTTTCTTACTGTCAAAATAACTAGTATCATCTTCTGACTCTAATTGTGGGATAAATTCTGCTTTTTGCCGTAGTAATCCATTCCAGTCTAAGTCTTTGAAGAACCTGTGTTGTTTCACTTCAAAAGCACTACCTGTAATGACAACAATTGTGAGGAATTCTCACAATTCTCACAATATAGTAGCAAGTACAGTTCATCTAAAATCTGAACAAAAATCAGAGCTCAGTGGATACATGTTACACTAACTTTCTTCTCCAAAATAATGAACTAGTGAGGTTGTTTTAGCTCTTTGTGATAACAACCATAAATTCAAATACATCTGAATTAGTTAACCAAGGAAGAAATAAGGGGACATTGCATGAAAGTTTATGCATTTTTAAATTATGTTAGTCTTTTATAAAGTTTTTGTTATTATGAGGAATGAAAATCCACATTCATTCTCATAAATTCTGACCAACAAAGCAGAATGCAAAATGTTTTAATATTGTTGCTGATGGAAGAATATGGAACACTGAATAGAAACACTGGGACCTACCTAGCTATTTATCAGCAAATGCATTTTTAAAGGAATGTTTAAATATTGGCCAATATTAGTCTCTACTAAAACAAAATAAACTTTGTTACAAGATCCACCATTACAATAACTCTACTAAGTTAGAAAGTGACAAGCAACAACACTAAGATTACATATGCAATTATATTTTTTTACTATGGAACTATTTACACTTTTTGGGCTACCACTCTAAATGGACAAAATGGCATATAAGTGGCATATATGCCTACCCAAAATGGCATATAACCTAATATTAGTATCTGAGGGTAGGACAAGAAGCAATTAATCAGTGGAACAACTTGCCTCCAGAAGGTGTGAATGCTCCAACACTGGAAGTTTTTAAGAAGATGTTGGATAACCATTTGTCTGAAGTGGTGTAGGATTTCCTGCCTGAGCAGGGGGGTTGGACTAGAAGACCTCCAAGGTCCCTTCCAACTCTG